CTACTACTACGACTGCTACTACTCCTGCACTAGTACTACTCCCACCGCTGCTCCTCTTGCTCCTGCTGCTGCTGCTGGAGGAGGAGGACGACCAGTGCCACTAAGACTGAGACTCGGGCCAGGGCTCGGGCCAGGACAGTGGCTTTGGCTACGGCTGCGTACACCTAATTCTACTGTAATACCAGTAGCAACAGGAAGAATAATAACAAAACACATAAACCCAGTCACATCAGCTGCCAGATTTAGAATACTAATGCCAACAGCACTTGGTGCTGCTGCTAGTAATGGTAAGAGCTGCGATATGAAGACTGACAGTGGTCATACCGGAGGATTGCGACGCGGATTGCCGCACACCCTTGCATCTCGCTTCCGAACACGGTCGCATGGAGGCCTCGACGATGCAGTTGACAGGTTTGGGTTGAATGACGCTGACGACAAGTCGCGCACTTCATGTTTGGAAGTTCGACTGGAAGTCTTCTGTGTTGTCCTAGCCATTACGGCACTAAGGCGTGGGAAATTGCATATCCAAACAAGCCTTGTCTCATCAGAACTACGACATGTCAACTTCCCACAAAAACGATGACTGAGCAATCGCAACTTCAACGACTCATAATTTTCTGCAGCGTCTCGTGACTCCTCCGGAAGCGTTTCCGGCATGCCACGAGGAAGGAGCTCGCAGAGTTGTCCCGGTCGTCGGAATCTGCCGCCTGGAGTCTGTCACAAGGAGCCGCAGCCGCGGCCGCGGGCGCGGAGGTAGGAGCCGGGGTCGAGGCTCCAAAAAATCCGATGGAGGCGGAATGCTGTATAATGCTGTATAATGCTGTGAGATGTTGCGAGCTTGCGGCGGCCATCTGTGGCCATCGTGGCCGCGGCGGCCCGCGCAGCTGCAGGCGAAGATGGATTTCCGGGGTCTCCGAAAATCAAGCGGAAGAAAACCGTGGAGCAGACCTACCAAAAGAAGACACAGGCCCGGGCTTCGCAGGGCTCCACAAGGCGTTCTGCGTTCGAGTTGATTTCACTCAAGAGTCTTAAAGAAGGTGGAGCACATACTTTTGCGTGCGCATGCTCAGCTCCTTTGAGCGCTTCCATCTGACAAAGGAAGTTAGCTTCGGCCTCTTCGGCCTGAGGTCCAGACACCTACGTTGGTTCCATAGAACACCAGGTCGGGACTCCTCAAAGCTGCATGTAGTCGATGTAGTCGATACTCCCTGGTGCTTGGGGCCAAGGATGAATCATCTTGGATCTGGAACGACAAGAAGGCCCATCTCGCTTCCTCACAGGTATGCCTCCTTGCATGCGCTCCACTTTCATTTAAAAGACCGCACCAGGGGTAAGTTGCACCTGCTGCGTCAGCAGGGCGAAATGGAGTACAGAGACATCAGCTATGTTCCGGCGTTGTACAAAATCTTCGATGAGATCCTGGTCAATGCTGCTGATAATCTGCAACGAGATTCGAAAATGAAGGCAGGAGCTTGCAACTGTGATCACTTGCCAGCCAAGCCCGATGTGCTTGAGTCGTCGAGGCTATCAAGGTCGACATTGACCGTTCCAAAGGAGATTGAGTCAAAGAATCAGTTTACCAAGTGATCGCATACAGCTTTGTCAGTTGCAGGAAGGATCAAGGTGTGGAATGATGGAAAAGGAATTCCCATACAGCTGCCCTTGCCTTGATTACTCCAAATTAGTGCGCCCAACGTGCTCCTGACAATGCAGATCCGAGGCACAAGAAGTACAAGGTCTTTGTGCCGGAGCTGGTGTTCGGTCACCTGCTGACCAGCGACAACTACGACGACTCTGAGCGCCGCTCCGCTGGGAGTGGATCAGAGCGTCTCACGGGGTATACCGGTGTACAGGGTTTGCAGTGCAGCTTCAGACTCCCCCTTGGCCCACAATGGCTTGTTGTGCAAGCTCAGAAGGATTTTCCATCGAAGCCTTGCAGAAATGTCAGGGTGACTATGACCATCTAACACGCATTAACAGCAAACGAAACAAAGTGGCGTACTGTCGCTGGTCATGAGAGCCTGCCGCGCTTCCTTCCCCCAACCTTTGTGGCCCGCTTCTCGAGTTGGTGAGCCCCAGGAAAGGTTACTGGAGGTCGCAACGGATATGGTGCAAAGCTCACCAATGTCTTTAGCAGGAGCCTGCTTTGCAAGCACCTGGAAGCCCGTGCAAGCCTTGGCTGCCAGGAAATTTGTGATCGAGACTGCAGGTGCCCGGTTCGTGTACTCAACCTAGCCTCCATCAGCGGTGCCAGCGCTCTTGCATGCTTCTGGGAGCTCGGCAGGTGGTGGGAAGAAGTACAAGCAAGAGTGGACTGGCAACATGAGCCACTGGGTCCAGAGGTATGGTTGGCATGCAGAGAGCTCTTTGGCGCAAACGGGTCAGCCCAGGCAAGAAGGGAAAGCCGCAGGTCACCAAAGGATCTTCTGCAGCATCCTATACGTCCGTGGAGTTCTGGCCAGCTTCTTGGTAGCGATTGTTATCGGGAGAGAGGAGGCATTCTGTTGACAGTCTGTTGCAGGACCTGAGCAAGTTCGGGATGAAGGAGCTTGAGGCTGCAGACCTTCAGACGATCTGGTGCAGCTGGCTCACGTTCGCTGCAGGCTGACACAGTCGCCCTGATGATGCGAAGAGTTTATGACATCGGAGGTGGCGCTTCCTAGCCGAACTTGACAATTAGCAACCCATGAACGATGGATCAGAGCTGCAGATACCAACCGATATATATATATATATTAATATATATCAATATATATATATATTAATATATATTAATATATATTAATATATATTAATATATATTAATATTAATATATATGAATATACATTCATATATATATTAATATATATTAATATATATTAATATATATTAATATATATATATATATATTAATATATATATATAATATATATATATAATATATATATATATGTATATGTATATATATATATATGCGTGTGTGTATATATACATATATAAAGTGCTTTCCGATCAAACTCATTTTAGCATTGAGAGATGTGAAA